TGGAGTCTGCAGAGTTATACAAGTTACTCACCTCCCTGGCCGAGCAAGTCTCCAACCTGTCCCAGAATGTTACAGAATTGCAGAGACATTCATTGGCATTGAAAGGAGCAACGCTTGCAGTCCCGGAACATGTATGCCCAGAACCGTATGTCTTTATGCCTGACAGGTTCGACGGTTCCCGTTCTGCTTTTCCGATGTTCAAGACGGATTGTGAGCTACTATTTGCCCTGAAATCGAGAATCTACGCCACCGACTTTATCAAAGTACGCTCCGCTATTAACCTATGTACCGGGCGAATTAAGGCGTGGGCACACCAGAAGTTGCAGGAGAGAAGTACTGTCTTGGACTCCTGGGAGTTGTTTATGTCCGCAATGGATTCTCAGTGTTTTGCAGCAAGAAAAGCAACTTCCAAACCTATTTCTGGTCCTCGCAGAACCCGGTTGCCTAGAGAAGAGGAATTATTTTATGGATACAAAAATCCGATTTTGTTGCAGCATGAACCCACTTTCAGGGACCCGCCTTGTAACCCTGTTTACACTCGAGCTAGCAGTGAAACTCCAGTCGACATGGAGGAACCCATGGAGATTGGCTTCACCAGAACTAGATTGCCCCCAAAGGAAAAAGACCGCAGGAGAGCCCATGGTCTATGTCTATACTGTGGGAAAAGAGGGCATTTTATATCGCTCTGCCCGACTCGTCCACCTAGGCCAAGACCCCTTCGATCTGGTGCCATTTGGACTTACCCTGTCATCCCAGCAAGACAGCCTGGACACTGCCAGCCCTGTCCCCGTCCTGTGACACAAAAAGGTCCCAAACCACTACAGTTAATGTTACCAGTACCCCTGTGGAATCTCCACCTCCTGCTCCAGAAACAGTTGGACCTCTTCCTGATGACACTTCTGTTCAAGCAAGCACCATCACCACTTCCTGCCTTGCCAAAACAGTTCTGCCACCTGACTGCACCTATGCCTCAAACGGCACAGTTGTGTGCAAACAGGATTTAGAAGTCTTCGAAAAAGCTTTGAAAGCTGCAAATGCCTCCCCTATAGCACCCGAAACTGGTACCCTAAAATCCCAGGTCGTAAAAGGATACCTTAATTATAAAGACTATCTTAGCGATACTGAGACCGAAGATGAGGAATACCATTTCCAGGAAGAGCATGTTCACGCCCGGAGGGCGTTTTTGACGGGGGGGTACTGTCACGGTTCACGCCATGACATCCAGTCTGCCAGACGTGGTCGCTCCGGAAGCGCCCGATAGGGGATTTGAACTGTGGTCCTTCTGGACCGTGTCCTGCTAGTTTCCCTCTGAGCCATTTCAGGACTTTGGATAACTCCTGTTTGTTCTTGTATTGCCTGCAGCACTAGGGGTCTGGACTTCACTTAAGGCTCTGATCTGTCAGTTACTCTCCAGCTGAATCTGATCCTAATTAACAGGATATAAAAGCCTGCCTCACCCTGGGAGGGTGTCAGTTCATTGACTCTGGTTCTCTTGTTTGGTTCCTGTTACTCTGTACCTGCGTTCCAGTGTTTCTTGTCTATTCCGGCTTCTGACCTTGGCTTTCCTCCTGGACTACTCTGACCTCTGGCTTCCCTGATTTTGGCTTCCCTTGACCACGCTTCTGCTTATCCCTGTTGTACTGAGACTTGGAGCACTCTTCCTGGAAAGCCCCCGTGCACAGACTCACAGGCTAGGTGGCGTCTTACCTGGTCACCCTGGTCTGTGTCTACTTTGCAAGGGTGAGCGTATAACTCTGCGAGCTGGACTCCCTATCAGGTAAGACTCCGTTACACTGTTTTTCTAAAGTCTAAAACTTTTGGTTTTGTGTGGTGTGACTCAGTCACTGTTCTTATATTAAACCACACTGATTGGTGATCGCTGGATCCTAAACTTTCACCTACAGTAATATCTGATACCAAATCTCCATTTGTAACACTAAATCTAGTATGGCCTCCTTACGAGTTGGTTCCTAAACGAGTTGTTTTAGAGACAATCCCAGTTTGGAGTTTAGAATATGTGTGCTCCTGGCACAAGCAGCTATTTAGAATTTCCAGTTAACATCAGGAAGATTAAAATCACCCATGATGATAACGTCCCCCTTCATTGTCATTTTAGCTATTTCCTCAGCTAGAGATTATCTAACTCTTCTATTTGTCCTGGGGGCCTGTAAATCACACCTACACGAGTTACTGTGTGATTTCCAAATTCTAACGTAATCCAAACGGACTCTATGTTCGCCTCACTAACTTTTATTAGGCTAGATTTTATGCTATCCTTCACATACAGGACGACCCCTCCCCCTTTCTTTCCTTCTCTGTCTTTTCTATATAAAGAGTACCCTGGTATTGCTATGTCCCAGTCATTTTTCTCATTATACCATGTCTCAGTAACAGCAACTAAATCTACATTCTCAGTTGCCATTATTGCCACAAGTTCATGGATTTTATTCCCTAAACTGCGAGCATTTGTAGACATGACTCTAAGCATATCATTTTTTTAACACACTTTTTACAGTTACTTTCTGTTTTTGTTTTGGGGGGCAATTGGATTGATGTTTTATCACCCTTTTGTCCCCCCTCCTAGTTTAAATACTTCCTAGCAAAACCTCTGAACTGCTCGCTGAGAACATTTGTTCCCTTTTGCGAAAGATGCAAACCATCTTTTTTGTACAGTTCATTTCTATTCCAAATAAAGCTACAGTGAGAAACAAAGCCAAATCCTTGCTCCCGACACCATTCACCAAGCCACAAGTTAAAGTCATCCGCCTGTCGTTCTGAGTGTTATGTACAGGCAGAACTTCAGAGAATGACAGTGTGGAAGAAACCTGCCGTATATCATTGGCAAGAACACAAAACCCTTCCTTTACCTTAGAAACCTCATTACAAGCCAAATCATTTGTCCCAAGATGGACAAGTACATCCAATTCCCCTTCCTGCTTTGCTTGCTTAACAATATTACAAATACGTCTCCTGTCTCTGTGAACAGTAGCTCCAGGAAGACATCTCACAAAGCCGCTGTTGTTCAACTCTACACCTCTTACGATAGAATCCCCCAACAACAACTGGTTTCTATCAGGCCTCACCTTGTCCTTTTTGTCCTGGGGTGCACTCTTGCTCACCTCAGGCTTAGAGGATGGTGGTTCCACAAATTCGGTGCCTGAGCCTTTCTCCTTAACAACACTAAAATCTGAAAGTACAGAAAATGAAAACACAGACTGTGCAGTATGCCTTTTGTCCACATCTCTAAGTCTACCAGATCCTACAGTAATCCATCCGCCATTCCTAGGACTTCTCTGCGGCAGTGGCTTTGCAGCAGCTCCAGCCTGAGATTGTTTAACAGATAATTTACAAATCTCCGACTTCAAAAATGCAATCTCCTGCTCCAATATAGAGAACTGTCTACAGATTAGACAACAACCAAACCTCCAAAACGTGGAACCATAAACAAATGCACAACAACTATTACACTGAACTAAGTCTGCCATTTTAATGATATGATGAGTTTAAATCAAACAAATCTTTACTTTATTACCTTTTTTTTTTTTTCCTTCAAACTTCTGTTTACCTCAGTGTCAGAGTTTCCTCGTATGAGGCGCCACCACTGAGGTATGTCACCTGTATGAGTTGGAGAGCTCTGTAGTGTAGGGGGCCCAGAAATATGGCGTATATGGAGGCCACTAGGAGCCCGATCACGCGTGCCAGATGCTTGAGAGATACTTGTAGACAGGCAAGAACGCGCCTTATCTCTTTTTTGTTATTTTTCATTTTGGAGGTTGGCAAGTATAAAGTTTGCATGGCCGAATCCACTAGGTGGCCTAGAAACTCTATTTGTTGAGTGGGGACTAGGATGGATTTCTCCCAATTTATAATGAAGCCCAGATTCTGTAGCAAGGTTGTGGTCCAACCGAGGTGAATATGAAGTAGGGGGACCGATTGGGATAACAGCAGGATGTCGTCTAAGTAAATGATTAGGCGAATCCCCCGACTGCGTAGGAGAGCGATAACGGGCTTCATGAGCTTGGTGAAGCACCAAGGCGCGGAAGAGAGACTGAAGGGAAGGCAGCGGAACCGCCATTTCCTTCCTTGCCAAGTGAATTGCAGGAAATCTTCATGAACCTCTGCAATGGGCACCGTGAGGTAAGTGTCTCTGAGATCGAGTTTGACCATCCAGTCTGCTGGTTGGAGCAAATCTCGTAGGCAATGAATGCCTTCCATCTTGAAGTGATGGTAAGTTAGATAGGTATTTAGGTGTTTGAGATTGATGACCGGGCGGGTTCCGCCCCCTTTTTGGGGGACAATAAATAGGTTGCTCACTAAACCCGGGGTATGCATTGGGATTTCCTGAAAAGCACCTTTGAGTGCCAACTCTCGAACTTCCTCGGAGACGAGGGTCATGTCTAGTGGGGAAAAACCAATGCGCTTGGGTGGGTGGAGTTGGGTAGGCAGGGATACAAAATCTATTAGATACCCTTGGACTGCCTTGAGTATCCATGCATCTGATGTAATGAGAGCCCAGGCATGGGAAAAATGTGTGAGTCTGCCCCCTATTGCCACAGGTGAAGAAAATTGAGATAGGTATCTTACCGTAAGGACATCGTCCGGTAGGAGCACCTTGTGCACCTCTTGACACCCAAGGTCTGCCGCGTTGGGGGAAGAAAGTCACAGCGGACCTCTGTTCAGGAAAGGGGGTTCTCCCCAGGTAGGAGCCTCGGTTCGGGTGCGAACCTCTGTTAACTCGGCCGGACAGACGGCCCCTTGCTCTGCCAGCCCCAGCAAAAACCTTTGGGTGGAACACCCTTTTCATGTTAGATTGTCCCTTGTCTAAGGCTGTAAATGTTTGGATATAGGAGCCCAGATCTTTTACAAAAGACTCGCCAAATAGATACCCTTTTGCTTGGGCTCCTGGCTCAGTAATTGCCATATTTATAAGTTTAGGTTCTATTTTTAATGGAATAGATTTACGTCGCTCTGTAGCAAGAGCCGTATTTGCATTGCTGATCAGGCATATCACCCTTTGGATCCAGCCCCTAATAGTGAGACGATCTAAGACGTCGTCCTTAGCCAAGGATTCCTCTATGGCTTTGAAAATTTTGATCGCTGGACCCAAAATATCCAAGACTAAAAAGTGAAAAATCTAAGCCTTTCTTAGGCTTCCAACCAGTTTTACTTAGAAACTGTATGATCTTGGGGAGTCTTACAGACATCGTCTGGTATGGTGGGGCGTGGGCATTCAGCCCTTAATTTATTTCGGCCTGCCTTATCCAGAGGCTTGCGGACCTGGGATGTGACGAATTTCGACCACATGTTCGGCCGGTGGCCGTTCCACTGAGCGGGGGTGACGTAAGTCATCTGGCTCAAACAATGGTTCGTCCTGTGGGTCAAGTATCTTACCCTCTTTGGTCAAGTCAGAACTAGAAGTGCCAGTGGCATGTATGTTAGTGGAGGGTTTATGCTCCTCATTGAATCCGTATTCCGAATCCAGGTCGGATAAATCTTTAGACTGATCTGAGTCTAGGGCAAAGGCACTCTCCTCATCTGATCTCAGTTCTTACTCTGTGGTATCAGGTTGGGCTTTAGCCCATTTCCAGCATCTAGCTGCTTTTGCCCGGCTAGAGGCTCTTTTGCGCGGTGGTTCAATATTTGTGCCATCTGTGACAAGTTTATTGCTGTCCATCATTAGTTTGGAGGAACGCTTGACTTTAGCCGAGGCCTTGCGGCCGGGGCGTGAGGGGTTTGATACAGTGGGTATCGCGGCTGGCATAGCGGCCAGAGGGACCATTAATTGGGCCTGCATTAACACTTGTGTAAAGGATTTTGAAATAGAGGAAGACATAATGTCCATGGCAGACACCAGGTCTTTAGATACAGACTTGGATACGGTAGTGTCCATGATAGCCTGGATTTCCTCAGATGCTGGGAAATCCACTTCATCCCCAGAAACTACAGGAGGAAACCCCAGTGAAGCTTGAGGGTCAGCTTGTGCCCCAGAGGACCCAGGCAAATCATTAGATGATTGCATTTTAAATAACAGATAAAATTGCCAGTGGTGATTTTATTAGTGAACAAGTATGCAATAAACGTTGAAAAAGGTATGGCAAATACTATTACTCACAGCCACTACAAAAGAGGGGAGAGCAGGAGAAAAGGGAACCGTCAACCACTAAAACCAGAGGGCAGAGTGGGCGTGTCAGAGTAAAAGGGCGGGAAAACGCTGCATACAATGGTCGCCGCGAGAAGCAGACACCAAAAAGATGGCTGCCGCGGCTTTAAAAACGGACTGTTTATCGATTTAGGCAGAAGGAGTGTCCGTGGAGAGCGATATGGGGTCAGGTGGATGCGGCTGAGTCTGCGCTCGGAATGTTATACGACCGCGGACAAAGCAGCCGGACCGCAAGATGGCCGCCAGAGGCGTCCCTAACGGGATGCGCATGCGCGGCTGAGTGGGCACGGATCCAATAGCCGCGAAAGCGGCAGTGCTTGCAGAGAAACCTCCCCAGGACTTGTTGAGTATTTAGCATAAAGTTAGAGACAGGAAGCTCTATAAGGCATTAGAGAATAGGTTAAACTTTAGGATATAAAACCACAATGCATAAGTGGAAGGAATAAATCTTAAAGGTATATATTAATTGTTTATACATTAAAGTACAAAGATAAAAATGTAACAGAAAATGTAAACAGAAATGCAATTGGCATACAATATCAAATAAATATAGAATCCCACAGCCAGAAACTGTGAGAGGTCTACTTATCTGAGGGAGCAGCAAAGAAAGAGGAAATGGTCATCGATGCTCTGCTTACCATAGGAGAAGGATGTCACTGATTGGATGGTCGTGTTACTAGGTGGACACTATGATGTTTATACCTGTTGTCACTATGATGTTTGTACCTGTTTCAAATGTTTTTTTCAAATGATGTTTCTTTGCTGCTGAGGGAATTAAAGAAAGAGTGCAGCATAATAGGAGCCTCTGGGTCTTTAATAAAATCTCTATTTATACCTTCATTTGTATTGCCGGTATTACTACAATACCGGCACGGCCAAGCAATCTCAAATACCGGCTGTGCCAGTAAAATACCAGTCAGGTGGCAAACCTAAGAATAGTGTGTAAAAAAGTTGGCCTATTCCATGGGCCTGGAGCTGCAGCTCCATCAGCCCCTATGTTAATCCAGGCCTGCTCTGCCTATTTCTCTGCACCTCTCCCTGCAATGTGTTAGCTCTTGTCTTTATACAGACACTTGTGACTCTCAGGCCTAACTTTTTTTTTTTTTTTGCCCCTGGGCTCATTCGAGAGTTCGGTCACATTCGAGAGTTCCAAAATGAACCAAAATCATGGGATCATGCAGACAACAGGTCTGAAGACTATTCACTGGAATTCCTAAAAAAATCCACATAGGACACACAGTTTCAAACAGAACTACCATCAACAGCTTTATTTTTTTCTCATGTCTAGCCCATAGGTTCATTACATAGAACTTATGGTAACATATCAATAAAAATACAAACTGTCAAATCACATCAGACAACATACAGGAACTTTTAATAATATAATGACATATTTATAAAGGGGTGGGGAAGACATAAATTATCTTAAAATATCTCTCCTGCCTGCAGAATTAGCAATATGCAAATCTACCTAAATATGCAAATTAGGTAGCATTTCTATTCAGGTAGTGCATATAGCTGTTTCTATCAACAGATGGCGCTATTTTGGGCTCCATAGCCAATCCACCTAGTCATTAGCAAGCATCAGAAGGACAGGAGAGCATAGAAAACATTTAACCTCAAACAACCACATTACACACACCCTGTACCCACAGGGGACTTAAACCAAATATTCATCTAGAGACCTAATTGAATTGTCCATCTTAAGCTCTTGGTCATGGTGACTACTGTCACAAGCACTTATAATTGAAAAACAATATTTTAAATAATGTTGTGAATGGCAAACAATTTGAATGTTGTGTTTTTAAAACATGCCAATATTTTATTTTTAAACCATTATTTAATGTTGTATTTTCAAAAGAAATATCTGCCTGTTCAGTGTTTAGAACTCAAAATGTCTTCTTGTCACTAGCCATTTACAAGTGAAAACATAGCCCTTTTACAGCCTTCCTAGTAGCCTAGGACTTAAAATCGAAAGGGTTACTTCACCCACCATGACCACTTCTGCTTTTTAAAGTGGTCATGATTGTATGAGTCTGGATGTTCATTGTTTCAGATGGAAACACTGCTGATCCAGAAATATTTTTAGTTGTGTGCTGGAAGCAAGTAGAACTAATTTGAATTCTGTGCATAATATACGTCTGTCGCCAGGCTCACTGAGCACTTCTCCCTTCCATTTCCTCCCCTTGCGGGCTCTGTTAAACCATCCAATCAAAGGCTTCTCTATGAGAAGCCCTTGATTGGACCTCGGCGCAGCTCCTATGACATCACATGAGAGTGCGCAGAGCAGCACTGGAGAGCTTTTCCCGGCGCTGGATTGAGGTAAGTTAATCTTCTTTTAAGATGCTCTTTGACCATTAATTATGTGGGGGCCCATGTATAATATTGCCAATAGGAATGAATCACCAAGTGAATTTTAAAACTGAAGAATTGATGGATGTTCTAATGTAATACAAATGAATGAATAATGCCAACAAAGACTTCAATTTGTTTGATTTCATAGCTTATCAAGCTGACTATCAAAGATTGTTGACATATAATCGCTCAATAGGATATCCAGGAGAGGATGAGGAGATGTTTAGGGGGTCATGTTGGCAGGGGAAGAGGTCTTGGGCCACTGGTCAGGAGCATATACCTGATCTTTCGGAGGCATAGTTCTCCAATATTTTATGTATATTACTACATTGTTTAACGTTGGCTTCTTGGGAAGGGGTTTGTTGGATTTCTAAATTCAATAATTAAAAACAAACAAACTTTTGCGAGAGGGTACTGAGGATGACTTACTTTCCTTAGCTTTGTAATGCAAAATTATTTTGGGTTAAGAGATGTATGTGCATTGATATTTCACTTCTGCTTCTTCAGGGCCCCAGGATGTTATATAATATTATATGGGTTAACAGGATTTACCTGTGATTCTGTTTTATGTTTTGGTTGAACTGTTTACTATTCCTTAAAGGACCTGTGTGTTGAATTCATGTTTGTGCACTTTGTTTTAATGGCTAACAAAAATAATTTTTGGTTAATTATGGGGACCATCCTTTACTAGTACTTTCTTTTTTTGTTGAAAACTAATAACATTTTATTTACACACAAAACAATATCTATTTCAATGATAGAAAAAAACCTTTCAAATGATCAATCTACAGAAGTTACCATTATTGTCTATGGAGATTTTTAGTAGATAAATTATTATTGCTGGCATTTATAAAGCACCAACATATTCTGCAGCACTGTACAATGATATGAAGGTAACGGACAGGTAAACCTGAAGCATGCACTTAATTCACCTGATGAAGACCAGCAAATGGTCCAATCTAATTTATTTGTTTACTACTATTTTTTCTCTTTCATGTATACTATTTGTTGGAATAAAATAATTCTTAATTTTATTATTTTGGTTCTTCTATGAATGTGAAATCTTCTACGTTCCAGTGGACCTGCTATTGAACTAAGCTATCCAATTTAATTTAAAGGGACCCTTAGTCACCAGAACAACTACAACTTAAAGGACCACTATAGTGCCAGGAAAACATACTCGTTTTCCTGGCACTATAGTGCCCTGAGGGTGCCCCCCCCCTCAGGGTCCCCCTCCTGCCCGGCTCTGGGGAGAGGAAAGGGGTTAAATCTTACCTTTCTCCAGCGCCGGGCGGGGAGCTCTCCGCCTCCGATCCTCCTCATCTCCTCCCTTTCGACTGAATGCGCATGCGCGGCAAGAGCTGCGTGCGCATTCAGCCGGTCTCATAGGAAAGCATTTATAATGCTTTCCTATGGACGCTTGCATGTTCTCACTGTGATTTTTCACAGTGAGAATCACGCAAACACCTCTAGCGGCTGTCAGTGAGACAGCCACTAGAGGATTTGAGGGCTGGATTAACCCATTTATAAACATAGCAGTTTCTCTGAAACTGCTATGTTTATAAAAAAATGGGTTAACCCTAGCTGGACCTGGCACCCAGACCACTTCATTAAGCTGAAGTGGTCTGGTACACCTTTAATGTAGTTGTTCTGGTGAGTATAGCATGTCCTTGCAGGCCTTTTGCTGTAAACACTGTATTTTCAGTGAAAATGCAGTGTTGACATTACAGCAAAGAGACACCTCCAGTGGCCACTCCTTAGCTACTAAAGGTGCTTCCTGGGTCAGTGCTGCACAGTGTACAGCACTAAAATTTAGTGTCTCCACCCTCTGCATGGAAACACTAAACTTTTCTCATAGAGATGCGTTTTTCTCCGCCCTCCCCCGGCCCACCTCCTTTGCTGGGATCATTAGGATTTACAATCTCAGCCAATCCAATGCTTTCCTAGGGCAAAACATTGTGATTGGCTGAGATCATCACTTTTGATTATGTCAATCAAGGAGGCAGACTTTGGACAGAACCAACACCAGCAGACTGGAATAAAGGTAAGATTTTACTACACTTAAGGGGGCTAGATAGTGTTTTAACACTATAGGGTCCGGAGTACATGTTTGGGTTTCTGACCCTATAGTGTTCTTTTAAAGCTTGGTTTGATGCTGATACAGTTAAAAGCCAACGTATCAGTACAATAACCTACTCTATCGTATTATATTATTTAAATACTATTCTTAGATGGTTGTGACCCAGTTATTTTTCCCTGCGTTCGGTAGATTGATCTACCAAACACCGACCAGCTCCTGGCTCATTTAACTTCAAAGAAAACCACAAACTTAAGTGCTCTCTCTGTGTTGGCGCCGTTCCTATAACCGAACAACACATGTGCTGGAAAACCGCGGCCATCTTATCTCCCGAAAGCAGGCAGCGGTACTTGGTCGTTGAGTGTCTGGAACTCTAAGTCGGACACTCGTTTCTGCGAACACTGGTCATCTGGTACAAATGTCTGCTTCATTCCACGACAAGCCAGTAGAGCACCGTTCAGTAGGATTGTTTGCAAAAAAACAGGCATACAATCGCTACCTATGAGCCAGGGGAACTGTTCAACTTTTGGTTCATTTTGGAACTCTCGAATGTGACCGACCGCTACCACTGATTCTCTGGAACTAATTTAGGCAGACGCCACATGTGCAGTTGGTCAAAACTTTACCCTGGTGGCGATTCGGCTGTGTTCGTGGCATCTGAGTGCTATTTGGATATGTTGGGCGCTCAAATCCATGCTATCCGGGGATATGATATTTGTGGGAGCTCTTATGTATGTTATATGTATTTTGGGGTATTTTATGTTTTATATGTTGTACCTCTAGTGCATGGGAGACAATTAGTTTAAGCAAAATACACTCAATTATCTCCCAGACACAGAGACTCCTGGGCGTGTTGTGGGAGTGTTTTACTACGTTACTGCTGGAGACCCCATGCTAGGGGTCTGTGTATATAAGTGAGCCATCTGGCCATAATAAAACATTCCTGTTGTACCCTTCATCAAGTTTCGACTGATGTTTGGGTATGCGAACGAAACAGCGCTTGATTTTAACCACGATCTACTGGGATGTCGTGAGTGAGCGAAAGAACATACTTCACAAAGTACGTGAGGTTCGTTACAATGGTCTTTTATTTTTGTGTCATATAGGTGTTGTAGAATTATTAGGCCTCTATAAATCTGTAAGGCCCCTTTAAATCCTCTTGCTATACCTCTAAGAGGCCCCATAGTTTTGCAAGAAAGCTTTGTCTATAGAACATAGAATTTTCTTGTCAGCAAGAAATAGCTTTGATAAAATGTGTATTTACTAAAAGCCTTGAAACCTAACCTTGAGAAACTAACCGTGCCAGCTACACTCTAAATGGATAGCTGCCAAAAGGCCCCTCCCGTCGAGTGAGCTCCTCATGTTAGCAAAATGGCGCTAAAACCTGGAGGAGATAATCATGACGTGGATAGTGACTTAAGATGGTACACCCCATAGGGAGGGCATTTTACTAACATCTTAGCACCTAAGCCAATTAACAATGTCTATTTTTCTATATCTTGATTTTCTTCAATGATGTAATAATACCTTTAAAAGGGTCTGCGCACCCATTTTCTGTCAGAAGCCATTAAACTTCTCCGAAGTTCTTTCATTAACCTGAACTTTGTGTCTCAGTGTGAATTTACTTCTGCGTGCACGCAACTTTATTATCTTTAATTTGGACAGGAACAGATAGTCATTCAAACTAATTGGTTTGCAGTAAATTATCTACAACAGCTGGCGCCATAACGTGGGGCTCTGGGCTATGTCCTGCCTGGGCAGCTGTCCAAGAAGATGCTGGGGGGGTGAATCCTGGGGGAAGGAAAAGAGCCTGATCACCTCTGAATACACGGTAGAGATTGCTGCAGCACCTAGCCGGTATGTTCCTGCCCCTGTGATTGACCTATCCCAGTGTCTGTGACTGCTGCCGAGAGGACATCAAAGTCAGGTAATAACTTGCCCAGAGTCTTTGTATTGTTAATGATACTTAGTTTACCTGCATGTTGACTATCTGTTGCCTGGGTGTGTTTATATTGGTTTGTGTTTAACTTAGCACCCAGGGGGAGTGTAAGTGCCTGTTTAACTCCTTTTAGGTACCACGTGGCTGTGGTAGTAAGGAAAAAGGGGGGTGGACCTGTGGAAGTTTTCCTGGGGGTCCTCTATTGCCTGTTTAACTCTTTTAGGAGCCACGTAGCTGTGGCTGTAAGGAAAAAGAGTAGGGGGAATCTGTGGAGGGGTGTAGACTCACTGCTTCCTGGGGGTTCCCCATAGTGTCACTTTGACGCTTAGCTAGCCTCATCGGACACTTCTTCTTGGTAAAATTCCAGCCTCGAGCGCTGAGGCAGGTAAGATTCCAATTCTTTAGGCTATACAGGATTCGGGTTGGAAGCTGTTGCTGTTTCCTGTGGCTGCTGGTAGTGAGACTTGCGGGTGGGTCCGCAACAGGGACACTACGAGGTTGAGGGAGAGGTGGCTTTGGGCCACGCGAGTAAAGGCAAGGGATAAAACTGTTGAACTTATTTGAACTGTGATGCATGCACTGTATTTTATTTGAAATGTTGTCTTAATTGTCTGTCACACAGATTCCTGTGTTTACTTCTATCTTACTCACTGTACTATTTACACTTTCCCCTCCTATTTCTCTTTCTCTGTTGAGAGAAGAGATTGGTCACACACTTCTCGCCACGCTCCAATCCGCGGCTACCACGGGTAGGCGGAATCAGTGACTAGTCTACGTTTTGGGAAGACGTACTTAAAGAGCTTGCTCTTAAAGTAGCAGTCGAGCACGGTAGACGTTCTGTTCCTTTCTCTCTCTATATCTGGGACGCCTTATATAGGGAGGATGGGACAGAAGTTAGATAAACCCAGTAAGGGTTGGTTAGCATGTGATCTAGTGGAAGACAGAGAAGGAGAAGAGATGGTTAAGAAAGTGAGGAAGATTGCTAAAGTATGTGGAATTACCGTACCTCCGTGCGGCAGATTGCAGCCAGAGAGCTGGCGTAAGTTACTGACAGAGAAGAAAGGGGAAGCTGTCGGACCACGATTTGGTTTGTACAGCAGAAGCCTGGTACCGAGTAGCAAGAGCTATTCAGCAAAAGGGATAGGTTGAGGAAGAAATTGATCACAAAGGTTTAAGATTGTTTGTGTATTATAATAATTGTGTTACTGGATGCTGATGGATCCCTATTCTCCCCCCCCCATCAGTCCTACAGATCTCGTCACCCTCATCCTCTCTCTGCAGCTCCCTGCACCTCCAGTCCGTTTCTCCCGTCAAAGATTTCTGGTTTCCAAACGTATAAGTCTCTGTCCTTCTGTCTTGTTACTTTCCAGCACTCACATGGTTAATCTTCATGCCTGCAGCTTCTCTCCCTTTTTTGCACTGTCTAACTTTCTCCTCCCCGCTTGCCTGCATTTCTACTGATAAGAGTTAGAGACGGGATTTTTGCTGGAAAATATTCTAATTCAAAGGTTATGGTGTTATAATTGTGTAATAATATTATTATTGTCGCCGTTTGCCGTGTATGTGTGTGTGTGTGTATATATATATATATATATATATATATATATATATATATATATATATATAGTGTTTTGTGATAAGGCAGTGAAGATTGTGGGGGGGCTCGCTCACAAGAATGCATTCCACCTTTCTGAGTATTCTCTCCAAGACTGGTGTATAAGACAGGGAGTCAGGGATGTAGCTCAGTGTTGATTTACGGAGGTTAAGTAAGTGAATCTGATACAAGAATAGTGGAATATTTGGACGTGTTAAGTGTAAAGGCAAGCGTGATTTGTTGCAAAACTATGCAATGTGGATAGAGGGAATATGCGAAGTTAAGCTAGTATGTGAAGAGGAAAGTGATTAATGGTTGGAGGAAGATAAGGGAATTGGTTGAATTCCGTGAGTTTATTTTGCATCATTTCATTATTTTAAAGTACATGTTTCTATGGACAGCTGTATGGGCTGTTAAATGCATAATGTTTTCAACTGTCTTATTTAACCTGCCAGGTCTGTTCATAGTTTAGTATTTCATTTTGCAGAACAGAATGTTGCTTCTCTGACTTATTTTAATAGTTATAATATAGTGTATTGTTGAAAGTGCATCAGCCACCACCCTAAAGATGGCGCCTAGTACAGAAGGAGGTTGACCCTGCCAGTCCCGTGACCTATCTACAGTCACGGTTGCTTCTAAAGTGACGTCACTTCCGCCCTTACCATGCCCACACCTCCTGTCTTCCTTTCCCACACATATCATGGACGTCACCCCTCTCACTTCCTCCCTTGCTGTCATTTCCTTCCCCGCCCCTGTCATGGCTGCCTCCATCATGAGGCCTACCCCTATCATGCTCGTCCTATTTAGAGACATGTTGTTTTCCTTACACTCTACATATTATGAACAGAAACATTATAATTACTAAAACAATCATGCCATTTGTTTCCCTGTATCAACAATGTGTCCGTGATAAAAAAAAAAAAAGAAGGTTGCTAAAATGTCATTTGCAACTGTGGTGTGACCTACAAATGAGATCTGTTGGACACGAATATAAGAGCATAACAGCTGATTATCCAGATTAATCTTGCAACAAGGGAAATAGCCAAATAATGCAAGTTATTTTAAACATTGTATCTTTGCTTAATCGAATCTTGCTAGTTACAGATCGTATGTTTACAGTAACATCCTTTACGTTAAATGATGGTTTAGCATTAGAAGGATTAGTGACATGTTTTATTAACCCAGCCACTTCTGGTTATTAATTTTAGTTACAGGGTGGTATAATTGTTATAGTCTAATTAATATAACTGATAGTACCGCAATAGTTAATGTTTTACCCAAAGACATATAGGAACTTTACTTCACTTACTATTAACCATTATTTATAATGATATAACCTACTGATGCTTAATGCCCCTATTATGGCAGTGTCTTCAGGGGAACAAGGGGGGCCACTAGCCACTGTAACTTTACCTATTGAAGGTCACCCTACTACTTTCCTGGTTAACACAGGTGCAGCCCGCAGTGTTCTTAGAGAACAAGACCTGCCTGACTCATCATTCCTGCCTGACACCGATGTCTCTTGTGTTGGTGCTGATGTCCTATCCCGCCTCCAAGCATCCATCACCCTCACTGCAGACGGCCAGGTTCAATTAAATACACCTTTGTCACGAAAAGACACTACAGTTCTTTGTTCCCTTCCCATTTTACTGTGGAGATGATCTACCCACAACAGAACAATGCTCAATTAATCTTCTTTACTATCTAGCAGAACAAGGATGTGAAGCTTCACGTCTCAAGCTGCAATTCTGCCAACCTACTGTTATCTTCCTTGGCCATTGTCTGTCTCAGGGAACCAGACATCTCACTCGTGACCGAGTTAGAGCAGTACTGGACATTCCACCTCCAAGGACCTCAAAGTCACTACACGCCTTCCTAGGCCTCATTTCCTATTGCCGAGCATGGATCCCAGAAGCCTCGCTCCTTATGCAACCTCTTTATGATGCTCTCAAGTCAGACCCATTTTGCTTGTCCACAGAAGCCCTTGACAACTTCTGTTCTCTCAAACGTGCTATTGCTTCTGCTCCTGCTCTTGGCCTACCAGACTATACCAAACCCTTCAAATTGTTTGTTTCTGAAAGACAAGGCCATGCAACAGGAGTACCCACTCAGGCCCTTGGTCCTGGAGGCCGCCAAAGGCCTATTGGATTTTTCTCCTGCCAACTGGATATTGTGGCCAGAGGACGTCCCACTTGTCTTCGGGCCGTCTGTGCTGCCAAAGAGCTCATTGAAAGAACTGGAGATCCTGTCCTTGGCCACCCCCTGGTTGTCTTGGCCCCTCATGACATTTCTGCCATAGTCAACCAGGTCCAACTTAAGCATGTTACTCCTGCTAGGCATCTTCGCCTTCAAAATCATCTTTTGTTGCCTGACAACATTACCCTTCAAAGATGTCAAGTTCTCAATCCGTCCACTCTTCTGCCACTCCCTGAGGGGGGTGTATACTACGGATTCATCATGGACGAAACTTATGTTTTTCTTCTCACTGGCACCATCAAGAAGGAAATGCATCCCAACCTATCCTTTCATGATGGACAAGCACTCCTTCATGACGGAGCAGGATATGCCTTCTGTACCATGTGGTACAAACCAAACATCACTCCTGAACCCTGCTATGAAGATGAACTCTATCATCTGGTCGAAGTAAAACTCACTGCACAAGACTTCTACTGTGATTCTGAAGGCAACAGTATGGTCTTGATTCATCTACCTCCGGAACTCAAGTATTTGTACCGTCATTGGGACACTGCCATTCCACATGTCCCTGTGACCAAGTTGAAAACAATATCATGGAATGATCTTGGGCCTAATGCAAAAGCATGGGCCACTATGGACGAATCACAGCTACAGGAAAATGGTGTTGTCAAATATCCAACAACTGACCACCTAAAAGCATGGCCACGTCATTTCCTGGAAAATGAGTTCCAAGATTTAACCATAGTGAATGACTACGACCCAGATACACCTCATGACTGTTTTGAACAGATGAAAATGGAAACAACACATCTACCAACTGTGCATGAAGACCCATTGGTAGATCCCGATCTCACCCTGTTTGTGGACGGCTCAAGATATGCTGATGAAAAAGGAAGATACCATACAGGATATGCCGTAACCACAACAGATGAAATTGTCAAATCATCATCTTTACCATCAACTATGTCTGCACAAGAAGCTGAATTGCAAGCCCTGACTTTAGCATGCAAGATCTCTGAAGGAAAGCGCGCCAATATCTACACGGATTCAAGATATGCACTGGGCGTGGCTCACGACTTCGGATTAATTTGGAAAACAAGAGGATTTCTTACCACCGCCGGTACACCAATCAAGCACGGTTCCGCAATCAAGGAGCTGATGGACGCCCTCCTACTCCCAGAAGAAGTGGCTATTTTGAAGGTAAAGGCACATGGGAAGTTGGACTCAGATGAAGCAAAGGGCAACCATCTAGCTGATCAGGCTGCAAAACAAGCTGCAAGAGAACCACAGGAAGTGGAAAGAAGAGTGTCCGGAAATGAAGAAACTCCCATATTTACTCTGCAGACTCTTCCAACTGACCTAAAAATCCTGCGGGAACAACAGGCTACAGTTGCCCCTGAAGAAATACAGAAGTGGAAACCGAAAGGGGCAGTTCTAAGAGATGGAGTGTATTACAACAATCTCAGATTCTGCCTCCCTAAGAATTTGTACCCAGCAGTCGTACAATGGGCACACGGACCTGCACATTTATCAAAGGATCTAATGAATGCTCTTGTACAAAAATACTACCTCACTGTCCCCATATGAGATTCTATTTGGGACTGCACCTAGGCTAGGTTGCTATTTTCCCCAACAACTACAACTTCAAACTGATCTTTTAGTAGATTATGTAAATGAACCCGCAAATGCTTTAAACAAAATCCATGCCCAAGTTTTCTCTTCAATTCCAGATCCTGATTCTGATACGGGCAACCACAGTCTGCTCCCTGGTGACTGGGTTCTGGTCAAGAAATTTGTGCGAAAACACACCCTGGAACCAAGATTTGATGGACCGTTCAAAGTTCTCCTGATCTCCCCTTCCTCTGTCAAATTGGCCGGAGGGCCTAACTGGATCCACGCTTCCCATTGCAAGAAGACACCTGCCCCAGAGGAAGCTAACTCTATGCAACCATGTGCCTCTGGTACATTATCTCCTTAGTTGGCCTCCTTAAAGCCCAGCAGGTGGCCATCACCAAAGATGCTAGTGGGTACACTTTCTGGTATAATTCATCATGTACCCACGTGGCTACATTCACCTTTGATTACTGTGATATTGTAGAATGCCCATTCCCTAAGTCACAGATTCAAGCCATTTATAAAGATATACCACAAGCAAAAGACCCTTACGTTTGTGTAGTAGATGAACAATGGGGTTATGACTGTAACTACTGGGGGGCTGCGGGATGGAATACTGGGCCTGCCTGGGGTTATAAACCCAAAAGTGCTTTATCTAAGATAGACAATCAGGGTAGATCCCTCCTTCAAAGAATGACTTTAAGAAAGCCTGGAGGAAGTACCCCTATGAAATTAATGTTAAATATTGAACATCCTGGCCCCGAGGATGCAGACCGATATGTAATGGGAATGTATTGGAAGAAAGGTTCCTACAACAAATTAGGTCATTTCTACCTCAGAGATATGTACCACTCTCCAGAGTGGCAAGGGGCTGATCATATGGTCCCAAATCCGCTAAAACCTTTAAAGATATGATGGCCATCGTTAACCCCACTTTTGAAGATACCATGGCCGCTGAAACTGGAGTCAATGACATTAATTTGTGGTTAGAGTGGATGAAATATAATGCTAATAAACATAACAAAACAGCATGTTATGTATGTGGCGGTGTCCGACCCCACCTTGGCACCGTCCCCCTAATTCTCCCTTTAGAGATAGAGGATTGCTTCTTAAGCCTTTTTGCCTACCAATATGACTTTGATAGGTCCCTCTGCATGGCATGGACGGCAGAATACCCTCTCTTAGTTGAAAATGTTAAGCTACCAGATGGAATCACAGTCTATAGAGGTAATTACACTTGTTATGCCATGTATGACGGGATTGGTAAATTCATGGGTAATTTTTCTAAAGGTTATTGCGCCACTTACAGAACTGTTCCTATACGCCTGTTGCAACGCCATACCAGGTCATTGGGGGATATTTACTGGTTATGTGGGGATCTACAGTTAAGATCTAGGCTGGAAACTGAGTGGTGGGGTGAGTGTACCCTAGCCAAAGTTATCATGCCCATTCATATTATTTCTGATAATCATCATGACACATACGACCCTCCACATACACCAGCCAGAGTGAGGCGCGAAACCCCAGTAAAAGGCAGTTTTGACCCCCACATTTACATAGATGCCATTGGGGTACCTAGGGGGGTGCCTAATGAATTTAAAGCTAGAGATGAAGTAGCTGCAGGTTTTGAATCACTGTTCACTATAGTCACTGCCAACAAAAACCTTAATTGGATTAATTATATCTATTACAACCAACAGCGCTTCGTGAACTACACCAGGGATGCCCTCCAGGGCTTGGCCGAGCAATTACAGGCCACATCCCAAATGACCTTCCAGAACAGACTGGCCTTAGACATGATCTTAGCCGAAAAAGGGGGGTCTGTAAAATACTTCCCGACACTATGACTTGTTGCACTTACATTCCAGAAAACACAGGTCCTAATGGTAAAGTCACTCTGGCCATAGCTAAATTAAATAGACTCTCAGAAGAGTTAAAGAGAAACTCTGGAGTTACTGATCCCTGGGAAAAATGGTTTGGTTGGATGACTGGTTGGCAGAGAGCTTTAGTCCAGATTGGTATTGCCTTACTAATTTTTCTTTTTATTCTCGCTCTTCTCATTTGTTGTGTCCTCCCATGCCTAAGGAAATTCCTGCAGAAAACTGTAGACCAAGCAACACCAAACTTCACTCATCTGACAATCGATGATCAAGATCTCACATAACCCTGTATTCCGCTACAAACTCTCCCTTATACTGATGAAGTGCAGAAAGTCTAGGAAGGGACAGTACAGGGACAGCGTCCGTCTTTATGGGTAGACTGCCGTACGGAGAAGTAGTGGATAAGCCACTATGGGTTACCAGCGGAGTGAAGAGTGTTCCTGAACCGTACTGACGGATGTGCTGCAGCCTGTTAGGGTCAAGAGAGGGATAGACTTGCACTTTGCATTAACACTAAGTCAGCGGTCATGGGGTTTCTGTGTCTTTGGGCTAACACATCTTCTGATACTAACAAATAAAGTTTTGTCTTTTAGCAAATAACATTTTAAGGGGGGACTGTTGTAGAATTATTAGGCCTCTATAAATCTGTAAGGCCCCTTTAAATCCTCTTGCTATACCTCTAAGAGGCCCCATAGTTTTACAAGAAAGCTTTGTCTATAGAACATAGAATTTTCATGTCAGCAAGAAATAGCTTTGATAAAATGTGTATTTACTAAAAGCCTTGAAACCTAACCTTGAGAAACTAACCGTGCCAGCTACACTCTAAATGGATAGCTGCCAAAAGGCCCCTCCCGTCGAGTGAGCTCCTCATGTTAGCAAAATGGCGCTAAAACCTGGAGGAGATAATCATGACGTGGATAGTGACTTAAGATGGTACACCCCATAGGGAGGGCATTTTACTAACATCATAGCACCTAAGCCAATTAACAATGTCTATTTTTCTATATCTTGATTTTCTTCAATGATGTAATAATACCTTTAAAAGGGTCTGCGCACCCATTTTCTGTCAGAAGCCATTAAACTTCTCCGAAGTTCTTTCATTAACCTGAACTTTGTGTCTCAGTGTGAATTTACTTCTGCGTGCACGCAACTTTATTATCTTTAATTTGGACAGGAACAGATAGTCATTCAAACTAATTGGTTTGCAGTAAATTATCTACAACATAGGCATTGTAGTCACCATTGTATATCAGAAGGTAACTATAACCATTGTGCACTGTGCCACATTTTTTTTTTTTCAATTTGACAATTTTTATTTTTTCAATAATGTGGGTATGTGGGATACAGAAGAGAGACGGGGGGGGGGGAGGTATGGCAGTTCATCACATGCTCTCACATATAGTATACATCATAACATGGTATATTACATTCCGATAACATTTCAATAATATTTCAATAGCATGTTATCCATAGTGTTAGACCTGGGCTTGCTTACTCCCAATGGGTTCAAGACCCGTCCTGTGCTTAGTCACTGCATGCGTACCTTACGATTTGACTAAATGTCACCAGCTTTTTGTATCGAGCATGGACTGTACCTCCCAACCTAGGTTCTCTCCGGGTTTTCAAGCTTCTAATCGTTTGTATCTCTCCTCTAGTATCCCAACGTGGAAGGGATCTGCAAAAACTGGTGGGATGGGGAGAGAAGAATGGGGGGGGTGGAGGGGGGAGGAATTTGGCGAGATCTGCGTGTCCCTTTTCCTACCGGTTCTGTTACCTATAGAGACTCTATGATCAGCTCAGGACTCTTGGCCTGCCAGGCGTCCCCTGTCTGCTTCCCCAGCCCTCCCTGGTACATATCCCATGGGCTCACTCTCTTACTCCCTGGGGTGTATCCCTTGTCTCACGGGACCCCCTATGGGGCGACTCCCCAGTTTGGGACTATTCGTTATCTTCCTGTCCTTTGGGGGCGTGCACGGCTTCCCATTTAACTTGTGCATCCTCAAATTTAGGGCTGTTACCGTAGGTTTTCCTCGCTACCTTTTCGTAGTTTAAGTTATTGGAGATTTGCCTTATCAGGGCACTTTTAGTCGGTGCCATCGTGGTTTTCCATTCCCTAGCTATTAGTGTCAGGGCCGCTATCAGTATGTGGAAGACCAATATTGCCCCAGTTCCCTGAAACTGGTCTAAGTTCATGAATAGGAGGCTCAATTCCGGGGTCAGTGTTATGTTGTCTACCGTCTCTTTAGTTATGTCCTCTACCATCTCCCAATAGGGTCGGATCGTCCCGCACTTCCACCATATGTGGTACATCGTGCCCTCCGACACCCCACACCTCCAGCACTGCGCTGAGGTTCCCTGGTATACCTTTGCCAATCTGGTTGGCACCATTTACCATCTATAGTACACCTTCCTCATTAATTCTAGGTGTGATGTGCACAATGTCTTCCCCTTATGTGCTGTTACAGCTTTCTCCCATTGGGTTTTATCAAATTGTTTCCCCAGGTCCAGCTGCCACGCCTCGCTGAATCTGTCTAGATGTGTTGGGGTACCTACGTTCAGAAGCGAGTAACACATGGAGATAATCCCTTTCCTCTGTTTTTTGTTAATGCACGTGTTTTCTAGCCTCGTGATCGTGCCCCCCCCCCTTGATCTATGGGTCTTTGGGCCCCTAGCATTGATTTAAGTTGGAGATATGGAAATATCAGTTTAGAGGGTAGTTGAAATTTTTCTTGGAGGACGGGGAATGGTCTTGGGTTGTGTCCTTCTAAGAGATCTCGTACATGTGTGCATCCTCTCTTGGTCCATTCTCTCTAATCAAACGTGTTGTTGGCTACATGTAGGCTAGATAGCGGGGTTGCCGGTGACCATGGTACCATGGACACTAGTGCCGTTTGTGTTCTGTCCCAAGCCTCCAACATTGTTTTGGTGGTGGGTAGTATGTAGGGTTGTGGTGGACGCAACCTTTTAGGTACCCATATTAGTTTCTGGAGGTCTGTTCCTTGTAACCAGTGGTTCTCTATTACTAGCCATTGGGGGTGTGAGGACTGTGTATGTATCCCTATCATTGGGGCTACCAGTGTCGCTTGGCAGTAGGTTTTAATATTCGGCAACGCTAGACCTCCCTGAGTGGTTGGTCTGTATAAGAATTTTGCCGCTACTCTCTCTCTCTTTTGTGCCCATACAAATTTGGTGAGTATTGTTTGCATTTTATTTAAGTATGATGACGGTAGGCCTGTCGGTATCGTTCTAAATAGATATTGTAGTTTGGGGAGGAGAGACATTTTAAAAGCTGCCATCCTTCCCAGCCAAGACAGGTATTTATCTTTCCATGCTGCCAAGCTGGTCTCTAATTCTTTTTGCAGAGGCTCGTCATTGGCCTTGAAAAGTCCCCCTATTGTCTTAGTCAGTTTTATTCCTAGGAAAGTGACACTGTCTGCTCTCCAGTCCAACT